AGAGATGGCTCTGTATCACCTGCTAATGGTGTGAAGCAATAGCCCTGGAGCCAAATTTCTCAGAAGTTTTGAGTAGAGTGGCCAGAAAGAAAGGTCAGATTGTCAGGGTCTACCTTGTCAGGCATATTCTCCTTCCAATGGCCATGAAGACACCAAATTTCCTGTCTGAGCAGTGACCACCCAAGGTTGTTGGCAGTGCCTGTAACCCTGAGCCCTCTCGTCCTGTGGCATGGCACTGGGACTTCCTTCAGCCCACAATCCCAAATTTTCTATAGGATCCTAGAAATTATTTTGCAGCATGGATTGTGTGGATGCTTTCAATTCTCCTGTTGGAATAATTGTCCTGTGGCACAATTGCCTGCACTGACATTTAAATCCAACTCTCCCTCCCACTCTAGACCTGCTGTACTGCCAGCAGAGACCTGGCATATCCAGTATGAACATCCTTCCTTCCAAGGTCACAATCAGGTGTCTAGGAGTTGAGGAAGGCTGCTCACATCTGGGATGAGGATCTGCATGCATCATCAACAGCAGCAGCTTGTCAGCCTCTCCCTGGACCTTGAAAAATGCTTCAAGCAACCAGAGCAAAAATGATGCCACTTTCAGCTAGTCAGACTTCATTTATTTCATTATGCCGTGAACTCTGATTTTTTTTTGCATTATCCACAGAGACTTCTAGGATGAGCTAAGACTCACATGTGCAATGTGAATGAGACAAGCAGTAGAAATAAAAGATAAACAAGGAAGAAACCCCTCCCTGTAAAATTATTCAGGAATTCCAGGGAGGAAGAGAAGGAAAAAGGAAAAAGCCCTCAAGCCTATTTTCCATCCCTTCTTTAGAACATTTTTACATAGCACCTGACTGTGACCCTAACACAGCTAGCGATGGCCTCTTCTTTTGTAAATAGAAGGCTCAAACAGTGGCAATAAGAAGTCTTGGCTGGTGAGTTACTGTGAAAAATAATCAGATGTTTTGCTCTCCCACAGTGTGTCCTTAGGTAAAGCTCCAGCAGATCTCAAAGATAATATTCTTTCATGCTATTTAAATATGCACACCACTACTTTTGTGAAGCATCTCTCATTTTCATTAGAGCAGAGCTTCCTGGTAAGATCCTGCCACATGAACCTTTATCAGGGCTCTGAAACACCACCTGCACTCCACCAGCAGCCGAAAGCAGATGTGAGGGAAGAGCTCAGTTCTGCTGAGGGCCATGATGAGCAGGTCAGGGTGTCTCCTCACTATGTGTGAGGAACAATTACAGAACTAAATAATCCTGAAAAATACCTTCCAACCAGGGATCACCAGGGAAATGTTATAAACTACTTCTCCTATAACAAGAACTGGGTCATGCACTTTAGGAAGGAGGAAGTGCCTCTGTGCTGGTGGCAATGACATAATTTTTATGTTGGTGACCAGCACAAATAGCTGACTGCAGGTGGAAGACTTCTCTAATTTGGATGCATATAGTGGTCTGAAAGCTTATGGGGGAGGCGGAGAGCTTGCCAGAAAGACTTTCCTGGAGTCCACTCAGTTTTATCATCACTGAAAGGGAGATGAGGAAAAGATGATCAACTTTTTGTTTATCTAAAGAATATAATACAGGGACAGCTGCACAAATTGAAGGTTGGGCCACATTCCCACTTAAGCACACCATGAACTGAGAGTTGCACAGCCCCCAGGAATGAAGCTTGTGCAGGAAAAATGGAGTGGGTACATCACCAGAACCACAGGGCCTGTGTCAAGGTAGGGACATGGACTGCAGGACAACAAGGGGTGTCATGTTTAAACTGGTAAAAGCTGATCTTTCTGCTTCAGTGCAGGAAATCCCAGTACAAACTCAAAAGTACCTGAGTGTGATAATAGTTCAAACTCAAAACAACATTAAAAATTCCCAAATTAAACCCCCAAACAAACCAACCCAGCCCCCCTCCATCCTCCCAGAATTATAGAATGGAATAACAAAAAGCTGAAGACCTGGAATGAGTAGACCACACAGTCATCCCTGTAATTTGCTCCACTTACCACTTCCTTGCAAGCTGTATTTACTCATATACCAATAATGCTGTGAATAGAAATTAGCACCCCTTCATGGTGATAAAAGGCAGACACGTGGAGCTTTCAGAGACGCTTTAGCAGTGTGCACAGGAGAAAAGCAAAGAAACGTTACAGGGCTGGAAACATTTAAGGGGCACTATAATTGAAGCAAGGCAAAATAAATAGAGCTGTAAATTAGACCAGATTTGTCACAAGTCAATCAGTAAATGCAGAGATTTCTCTTTCAGGTCTATTACATCTCAATGAAAAAAATTGAAACACATTCAGATGCCAAACACAGTAACAGACATGCTAGTCAAGAAACAAAAGCATGCAAATACAGCATTTTTCAAGGAGAAATATGCATCACCAGCAAACATCAGTTGGGACAGAACTGTGGCTGGTTCACGGTAATGACAGATTTTACACCTTTTAACTACAGATCATGCCAAGGGGTCCAATCCTACTCCAGGAATTGCTCACGTCTCCCAGACTTTGCAGCACAGAGATTAGAACTAGGTTTGCCAAGCACTGGTATTGGTTCAGGAAATGCAGCAATTACCTGCTGATCTCAGGGATGGGGTAGATGCCCAGCTCTGCCCCCAGCAAGCCCACTACACATTCTGCATTAAGTGATACAAGAAAACAAACAGAGGGACTTTCCTTCAAGCTCTTTCTAAACAGCAGATGCCATTTCTCTATGCTCAGCTCCACTGGGTAAAATAAGCATATCCACAGTCCAGCAAAGTACACCTTAGTCAACTATAAAGGCAAAATGAATTGGCTAAGCACGCCCAGTGCTCTCAAGTGTTTGTGCCATCCGGTGTTTTTGGCACCATTCCTTGCACGGGAAGGCAGCACAATTGCCTGGCCTTAGAACAACTTTATGAAGAGCTAACGTTGCCATCGTGTGGTAACCTTCAGAAATAAACTGCACTCCCTGTAGCTCTTCTTCTCCCCCTTAGCTTCACAAAAAGAACAATGGATGATGCCCGTGGACTGAAAGGAGGGTGGCTTGCCCACAATATAGATTTCAGAGAGGTTTCATGAGTTGCTGAAAGGAGCACCAGATGCTGCTCACACAGAACACCCAGCCAGAAATGCACAGTGCAGGTACCAAAACCTGATGTATTCCTATTGCTCTTTCCCCCTTTTGGCCAAATTGTAAAAAAACAGCAGTTTGACAGAAATGCTGCTTGTTAGGTGTGGCGTTACAGAGCCCAGCTTTAAGGCACAGAATGCTCTCTCCCCCCAGCAGTGCCTAAATCTTTAATGCTCCACTCTCGCTGCAAAGCGCTAGGGCAGACTCAACCCTATACATGTGTTTTATACCACGACCAGGTTGCTCTCCAGGACAATCCCAGCTCCCAAGGATTACTGCACACCTTATATCCTGGAAACGTTTCTGTTGCCTCAGCAGCTGCCAAGTGGTAGGAATGAAAACACTGGATAAATTGCAATCATAGGCAAAGATGTTCTGGGGAAGACAATACCTTTAAAAACGAGTAAATGCTGTAGAAAAAGCATTTCTGAGCTCCTCATGATTGAAGGCACATCTATTTTCTGTAAAGGCACTTTTACCATTTTTTCCCCTCAGTCTTATATAACCAAGCTTAACAGTAGTACATAAAAAAAATCAAGAACCCTAAGGGACAAATCTTTCACCTTAAAGGACTTCCAGGTTGATAGAACTTTGAAGGTATTTTCAAGTTAAGAGTTTCAGAGTAGGTGGATTTAATCACTTCAAAATCCAATTTAAAATCAAGGTCTCCAGACACTTGAACATGGCTTTTAGTCCCAATTTGCATAATTTCTGATTTTTTTTCCCTTAGCATTTATATCCCTTCCTATCAACCAAGTGAACTCTATCTCCAAGGGTACATAAACAGCTCAAGACAATACTGTATACTTCCAAATGTTTGGGTATGCCCAATGCTGGCTGAAATAATGCAGCACTAACCATGTAAACAGTTAAAGCACACGTTTTTAGCAATATATGAGTATCAGTGTACTTGACAACACGTATTTGAGTATGTATATGACAATATAAAGGTCTCACAACCTTCATTGTTTAAAATAGATACTTCCTCCTTCAATTTATATTTGACTGAAAAAGTAATTTGCTTTTAAATTACCAGATACCTCAGATTTTACAGGATTTCTCCAATCAATGTGAAGAAAATATATCTCCTGCCAAGAAACTACAGGAGGAAACACAGGAAATTACATGGATGCTGACGTTGAGATTTGTAATTATTTTCCAATGCAAAGACTAAATTGAGCAGTTCAGTGTTTCAGATGAACTAATTTTTAGGTCATGCTCCCTTTTACCTGACAGTTTTGATTAAATAGTGGAAATTATATACTGCATAGTTTATGGAACTGGAGTTAATCTCTGGTCTTGACACAAAATCTTACCCTTAAACATTCCAAAAAGCAAGCATACTGAAATACATGCCGACAATTTCTGTCTTGTTACTACATCACAAATTGCTGTAACTGTGCTTACAGGGCAACTATGGTGTTGGCATCAAAGTATTCCAGGTCACTGCTTAAAATTTGTGGAAGTTTTTTAGAAAATAATTCAGTGTTTGAACAGCAGTTCATCAAGTCTTTCAAACCCTGACATTTGTGTGTTCTAAGCAGAACACATCCTTTCAGCATATGCCTGAATTTATACAGAACTATTAGCGTGATTTTTCATGTATTCTACACTTAAGACTTTGCAAGCAATATTGTACATTCCCAACCAATTCCCACATCAGCCTGCTTTTAAATGTCAGGATCTGACCTACTGCAAATAACTGGAAATGCAATTATTTCAACTGTCACTGCGTACAGAGTACTGGGCACAGCATGGCAAAAGCATTTCTGCATGCTCCTGGGGAATACTAGAATCCAACACTTGGACATTAAAAAATGAGACAGACAACCACTCTTGGTCAGAAATAAAAACCAATGTACGTTTAAAATTGAAATCAAATGTTTGTAATTTTAAAATTAGAACAAGGACACAGAATTATACATAATGAGAAGTTAATTTTATTTCTGTGCCTTCTGTGCCTTCGGTGCTGGTGCCTTCTCTGGCTTCTTAGCCTTGGGTGCCTTCTCTGGCTTTTTGCCCTTTGCTGCCTTCTCTGGCTTCCCTGGCTTCCCAGGTTTCTTGCCTTTTTTGGCAGCCAACCTCTGGAGCTTCTTCATTTCATGCTTGATGATTCTGTTTCTCTGTTAAAAAAAACAAGAAAATGTTTACACTTCATCAGCATGAAAAGAGCAAGAGTTCAAATAACCTGCCTTAATTCAAATTCTAAGCTTTCAGATTCTACCTCTTTTCATTATCACCTTTTACCACGCATTGTATCTGAAATGTCAAATTCCACCTAAAACTGTCCCAATTTACCAAGTGGACATTATCATTCTGGCTGGTAGCTCAGGCATCTCAATATTTCATGTGTAATGATTTTCATTAGAGGGTGAAATACTAACAGCAACCCATCTAGATAGAATATTTTATTTTATCAGCAGGCAATTCCTTCCTCAGCTGTCACTTGAGAGGACTGACACATGGATTATACAAGTTCAAGTCTGACCAACTACAGAAGAGAAAGTAGTGACATAAAAAAAAGCATGGAAAATTCAAGGCATTCACACCCACGGTGCCATCCCATAACCCAAGCCAGCTGTGACTCTGAAGTGAAAGCTACAAGCATTAACCCCATGAAGAAGCAGCACTCAAACACTTACCATTTTCTTCGCTTTCATCACCTTGTAGCGATCAAAGTCAGTCATTTTGGCTTTCTGTGTGAAAAGAATCGGTCACAAAACTCTGATAGATGCAAGCAGTACAACTCAGCATTCCAAAGCATTCCTAAAGTAACTGATCATCTCCAAATGAGGTTTAGCTGCACTTCTGGAACTAGCTCACAATTTAAGGCCTTTGCACCATATCCCAGGATGCAGGAAAAGAGGCTGCTATAGAAGTAACTGAACAAAACCACGTGCACTGTTAAAATACAAGAAGTTTAAGCTGGTCATTTAAAAACCTATGCCTTGTCTAACTTTAATCCTAGCTTGCTATTGAAAACGTGCAGCCTTTAGACTGTACCTACAAAGCAGAAGCAGTACATGTACTCCCCATCCAGTGAAACACTGTTACCTTTTCTCGGGCCTCAATCTTCTTTGCCCATCTTGTTGCTGACCATTTTTCATTTATATTTTCCTTCTCCCAGGCAAGTCGCACACACTTCTGACGAGCGCTGCATTGGAACAGTCACAAAATCATATTATTCACAGTCTCTATTAAAGAAAGGTTCTCCCTGATGCTGGCCTCCCAAATTTCATTCAAGGGAAGATGACTGCACTACACTTCAGACATTACTTCAGACACCTTATTTCAAGTCAAGGTCACATGCATCTCCGTGTGCATTAATGTTCTGTTGAGTAAGTGCTGTGCTAGAACTGACAGAATCACAGAATGGGTCAGGCTGGAAGGAACCACAGTGGGTCAGCTGGTTCAACCTCCCTGCTCAAGCACGGCCATCCCAGAGCACATGGCACAGGACTGTGTCCAGGGGGTTCCTGAGTATCTCCAGTGAGGGAGACTCAACCACCTCTCTGGGAACCCTGTTCCAGTGCTCAGCCACCTGAGCTCCAGGACATCCACATCTCTCTTGTCCTGAGGAGCCCAGAACTGGACACAGCATTCCAGGTGTGGCCTCACCAGAGCAGGATCACCTCCCTCACCCTGCTGGCTGCACTCTTCCTAATGACCCAGGACACCATTGGCCCTCTTGGCCACAAGGACACTGCTGGCTCAGGGACAGCTTGTTGTCCACCAGGATCCTCAGGTCCTTCTCTGCAGAGCGGATTTCCAGCAAGTCAGCCTCAAGCCTGTACAGGTGCTCGGGATTATTGTTCCCCAGCTGCAGGATCCTGTACCTGCCCTTGTTGAACTTCCAAAGTTTCCTCTCTGCCTGTCTCTCCAACCTGTTGAGATCCTTTTGAATGGCAGCACAGCACTCTGGGATATCAGCCACTCCTCCCAGCTTTGTGTCATCAGTGAACTTGCTGAGGAGGCATCTGCCCCTTCATCCAAGTCACTGACGAGTAAGTTAAACAATAGTGGGCCCAATATTGAACCTTGGGGGACACCACAGGTGACAGGCCATCAACCAGACCCTGTGCCACTCACCACGGACCTCTGGGATCTGCTCCCAATCCACCTCACTGTTTCAGTGAGCAGCTGCTCCTAGCACTGCTTCAGGATCAGAAGCAGCCTTTTTTGATTCTAAATTATACACATTCATACATTAACTGAGCTAAAAGAACATAATGAGTTCAGCCTCCTGCAATTCCAGTGTAGTTCTGTAGGCATGGAGCCTATTTAATGCCTGAAGGTGACTTAAGCAGTAGCAAAAGCAAAGCTGCAGCATTTACACATTGCTTTCCCCCACATCATCCACCACAGAACTACCTGTGAGATGCCTCGACTGCTGTGAGACTTCCTTTGCTCCCAAACAGCAGCTATCAGCCAACACTGGCAATGAAAACCTAAATATATTCAACTATGATATCACAGTCTGCCAAATTTTTACTATTTGAACCTTCTAGACTTAGCAAGGAACAGGCATCACGTGACAGCATGGAGGTTTTTTTTACACAGGTGAAGAAAGATACCAACTCACCTGTGTGGGAACTTCAGGACAAAGTCAGTCAGCTGCATGCACTTGAAGGGCATGGCCTGCCTCCTGACACCACTGCAGGGGCCATCCACCAGTGCCTGAAAAAGGGAAACAAATGTGGGCAGTTTGCAGCAGATTTCTCACTGCTTTTGATTTAGACAGCTGCTTCCTAATAATGTATGAACAGTATCTTGACAACATTCATCCAAAATTGGAACACATATTATGTAGACAGATGTGGAGATTGTTAAATCTTGCCTGTACAAAGAAATCACAGAATGGTTTGGGTCGGACAAAGACCTTAAAGATCACCTAGTCCCATCCCCCTGCCGTGGGCAGGGACATCTTCCACTTCCCCAGGTTGCTCAGAGCTCCATCCAACCACGTCTTTAAAACTTCCAGGGATGGGGCATCCACAATTTCTCTGGACAACCTGTTCCAGTGCTTCAACACCCCCACAGCAAAGAATTTTCTCCTACTATCTGATCTAAACCTACTCTCTTTCGGTTTGAAGCCCCATCACCACACGCTCCTGTAAGCAGTCCTACCCCATCCTTCCTCTAAGTTCCCTCCAGCTCCTGGAAAGCTTTCGAACTGCACGAAACCCCCGCGCTTGAGCAAAGCGGCCGCGGTCCGAGCCCGGCCCTGCCCCACCGCACACAACGCCGCGGCCCCGGCCCAGCGCGGGTGAGGCGGCCGCGGGCTCCCCGCCGCCGCCGCGGGTGTCGGCGCAGGGAGGCGCGGGCGAGAGCGCTGGGGCGGCAGCCGGGGTGCGGGCGGGTCGGGGTGCGGCGGGGCCGGCGGAGCGCGGCATGGCCGCACATACCATGATGGCGGCGGCAGCAGAGAGGGCGGGGCGGCCTCGCCGGCGCCCGGAAGCCGCCTCTGCGCCGCCGCTGCGCGTGCGCGGGGCGGGGCGGCCGCGGCTCCGTAGCCGTCCTCCGCGCGCGCATGCGCTGTAGCGCCCGTCGCTTCCCGTTGGTGGCGCAGGTCCCTGTGCCCAGTGTGGGACTGCACGATGGCCCGAGGTGCTTCCAGCAGAATCCGTCCTTCTCTGACCTCCTGCATTTCCCGCCCTCCTCCACAGGCGCTGCATTAAACTGTGCCTCTCCGGGGGCCTCCGCCGCCCAGCATGAGCGCAGGCTGTGCTGCGCAGTGTGGGGAACCCGAGGCTGCCTCAGTCAGAATGCGCTTCGGTGTAAAGGGTGGCACACTTCGTGCCGCTTTCGTGGCCTGTACGGAGCTGTGTTTTGGATTTGTGCTGAACACACGGTTGACAGTACGGAGTTTGTTGTTGCTGAGCAGGGCTCGCACAGAGCCAAGGCCTTTTCTGCTTTCTGTACTGCCATGCTGGCTGGGAATTTGGGAGTGCGTGGGAAGTTGAGAGGAGACACAGCTGGGACGGGTGACCCAGGCTGACCAAAGGGATATTCCGGAGCTTAGGAAATAGCTACTTGCTTTTCATAGTTTAGGAAGGTTTATTAGACCTTATCAAAAATACAACAGAAGACTGAATCAAGAAAAAAGGTTACGGCGCTGGGAGCAAAATATTTTCCCCTCCATGCGCTCAGCCCCCTCACAATGGAGGTTTTTCCCTTTTTAACCCTTTACCCCTCCCAAAGTTCTGTCCGTCCACCCCTTCACTGTCCAGTGGTGGAGATCTCTTCCTCAAATCCTGATTGGAGGTCAGATGTCGCCATAGTGACAAGTCAGCTCTCCCAAATGTGCCAACTCCAGCTGTCCCGTGAATCTATAAAACTTCTCTTAACCTATATACGTGATATTTGTCCATTAATTGTGAGAGTCAATCATGGCATTACTCATCTATCACACTCAGTTTATAAAGCAGGGGAAGAAGGAGTAAGCGGGAGAGGTTTGGAGTGATGGCGTTTGTGTCCCCAAGTCACCACCATGTATGATGGAGCCCTGCTCTCCTGGAGGTGGCTGGACAACAGCTTGCCCATGAGGAACAATGAATTAATTATTTGTTTTTATTTATTTGTGCGTGTGGTTTTTACTTTATTAAACTGTCTTTATCTCAGCTCATGAGTTTTCCAGCTCTTAGCGTTCCATTCTCACCCTAATCCTGCTGGTGGAGGAACGAGCGAGTGGCTGCCTGGGGCTTGGTTGCTGGCTGGGGTGAAATGACCACAACCGTCCACCCCTTCACTGTCCAGTGGTGGAGATCTCTTCCTCAAATCCTGATTGGAGGTCAGATGTCGCCATAGTGACAAGTCAGCTCTCCCAAATGTGCCAACTCCAGCTGTCCCGTGAATCTATAAAACATCTCTTAACCTATATACGTGATATTTGTCCATTAATTGTGAGAGTCAATCATGGCATTACTCATCTATCACACTCAGTTTATAAAGCAGGGGAAGAAGGAGTAAGCGGGAGAGGTTTGGAGTGATGGCGTTTGTGTCCCCAAGTCACCACCATGTATGATGGAGCCCTGCTCTCCTGGAGGTGGCTGGACAACAGCTTGCCCATGAGGAACAATGAATTAATTATTTGTTTTTATTTATTTGTGCGTGTGGTTTTTACTTTATTAAATTGTCTTTATCTCAGCTCATGAGTTTTCCAGCTCTTAGCGTTCCATTCTCACCCTAATCCTGCTGGTGGAGGAACGAGCGAGTGGCTGCCTGGGGCTTGGTTGCTGGCTGGGGTGAAATGTCCACAACTTTCAAGCCTAATCAGCAGGAAAGGAGACCTCACCAGTGAAACAGGCAGCTTTTTAATATATATATATATATTTGGAGCCCTGCTCTCCTGGAGGTGGCTGGACAACAGCTTGCCCATGAGGAACAATGAATTAATTATTTGTTTTTATTTATTTGTGCGTGTGGTTTTTACTTTATTAAACTGTCTTTATCTCAGCTCATGAGTTTTCCAGCTCTTAGCGTTCCATTCTCACCCTAATCCTGCTGGTGGAGGAACGAGCGAGTGGCTGCCTGGGGCTTGGTTGCTGGCTGGGGTGAAATGACCACAACTTTCAAGCCTAATCAGCAGGAAAGGAGACCTCACCAGTGAAACAGGCAGCTTTTTAATATATATATATATATTTATATGTGTGTGTGTGTGTGTGTGTGTGTGTGTGTGTGTGTGTGTAAAAATAAGTGTCTTTCTTTTAACCATCAGGATTTTTCATGCCGAGAATATGGCATTCAGGAGATAATGAGTCCTGTCCACTTCAGCACCTGGATCAGTTTTGCAGCTTGCAAATTTCCAGCACCTAGAACAGCATTTTTTCCCTCCCTATTAACAGTAGTTTTTCTACCAGTATGAAAATTCTGATAAGAGTGAGTGCTACCCTCTAAGACATGCTAAAAATAAAAAGTACACTTGGCTTAACTTTTCACAATTTTATTAATCTTCATAAGCAGGCACTGAAGAGTGTACAAGGATAAATAACCTCTGGTTTGTACACATTCCCAAGTGTTGTCAACTTCCCTGTCTCTCCCAGCGATCCTCTCAGTTCTAGACAGCAGGACAGGGATCTGGCCAGTGGGTCTGGCTCCAGCTCACACCTGGGGGAGGAGTTGGCTGTGGTTGTTGAAGCTGCTTGGCTGGAAGTTCAACACCCTCAGCTTTCCCATCTGAAACTGCCAGAGAGCTACAATGGAGCAGGTGGGTATCCTGGTGACACCAAGGGAGACTGAATACATAAGGACAAGAGGGAAGTACTGAAAAAACAAAACAGGTGATTCACCAGGGGAATTTGGTTCTTTGAACAGATACTGGGCCTATCCAAGTACATCTGGAAGTCCAAGTGGTTCTTGAACAAATTTATTTGTTCTTTAGCTGCCAGCTCTACAGAGACTAACTTCCAAGTGTGTTCCATTTGTGTAAAACCACATCTGAATGGCCCTGCCACTCAAAAGCAAATGTTTTGTAGGGCAAGTAAATATTCCAAAATACAATTTTCCACTGAAATTTGGCAACTAAAGAAAACATTTTAATGCTCTTATCCAGCTGTCTGGGTTTTTTTTCCACCCATAACTGCAGTTACAGATTCATCACACAAAATATATCTTGCCAGCCTCTGTAATGTCCATGCACTCTGAAGTAAATTTTACACTTTATCAGATATACTTTGATGCCACAGAGCTCTTCATCATCTTATAATACCTTTTACCTTATTGCTACTCCAGTGAGACTGACAAGACTTAGCAGTATATCAATAGAGAAGGAACAAAGCCCTATTGATCTGCTTGAAAAATCACTTTTTTCTTTTTTTTTCATTTATAAAGATATTTAGCTCGCTTCAAATCATCTGTCAGCCTACTAAAAAAAGCACAAAAGAAAACAAAACCCCAACCCCACAACCAAACATAAGTAAGAAGGTGATACAGAAACAAAAGACTGAAATTAAAAACATTATTTATGGGTAAAAATACTGGCCACTCTTCTCCTATCCATCCCCTAATCAATGCTGGGAATAGATGAAGCTGAGAGAGTCCTATGATTTAAGGGAGTGTGAGGTTTGGTGGACAATGGGGGGGCTTTCAAAGGAAGCCAGCTGTTTGCTGCACTTTCAGGAGAGCTCTGGATCAGAATGTTTAACAGAAGCATCTGCCAGGTGGATCCCAATGCTGCTGAAGGACAGTGCAGAGGCTGACCAAGGCACCCGTGACTGCAGCTCCAGCAGTACGTTCCTGAACCCACACAGAAAAGGTGTTTTGCTGGCCTGGAGACTGGCTCCTGTTCCTCTTGGCCTTGAAAGAAGGGCTTAACATGGTAATGGATTGTTCAGATCTGAGACTCTGTCCAGACAGCTGAAATAATACATATGTATCAAGTCAGTACAGACTGGCACTGCCTGAGACCAACAATATGTGGGTATGCAGGTCAGGGTTTCAGTGTGAAAAACTACAAAAAGCATTTCTGTGAAAGTTAGAAAAGGACACTGAAAACTCTGGTGTCTTCTGACGGCAACTATGAGATACTTAAATTTAGGTTCAGTTACTAAAGTGTGAAAGCATTTTGTTCCACCTCCAAAGCAAGTCTTACGTACCAGAGCAGAGGTGTTTTTGGGTCTCTATGGTACCAAAAGATATAGCTCTGTTTAGAGACAGGCTCAAAAGTCCTGAGAGGTGTTGACAGTTTATTACACCTCCTTGTGATGGGGATCAATCCATTTGGAACTGCAATAAAAACAATTATATCACAGCTCTTCCTTTCAATTCTTGTCATTATCCAGTGCTTGCTCCAGTTTCAGAAATTAGACTACTTCAGGGCTTTTAGTGTCAGCACTGCACACAAGGATAGCTGCCATGTTCCCACCTCCCAGAGTTGCTACTGGCTTGTTTAATTTTGTCTTAAACATCTGCCACTGTGATCAAATCCATCACTACCTGAGCTCAACAGTTAGCACAGAGTTAATGAACAAAAAAAATAATACATACCTGTCAGGAAAATGCAAGTAATCCCTTATAAAGCAAAGTGACATATATGCCCATGTTTTCTCTGCTGCACACTGGACAAACTAGATTTACAGAAACAATTACCAAAATATTTCAAAAGCACTCCAGTTCACCATATCACAGATCCCTTTGTGACTCTTCTCTATTTATGCTTCTGGTCCAGAAGTCATTTTTGCTGTCTTTATTTTTGAAAAATGGGGGGGGGCAAAATAAAGTTCTGCTTAGTTGCACTGTAACATTTTTGTTTTGTGTCCAGCCGAGCTCATTCATTCTGGAATAAATACGTGTTCAACGCGAGCAACGAAGAAGAGTCCTATTCCCATGGAATTTTCACTCAAAGAGAACAGACTCCAAGAGCTCAACTGCTGTTAATGGCAACTGTCCTTTAAATTAGCATGGAGAAACCTTTAGTGGAATATACAAAGAAGATACAGAACCATTTTAAATTACTCTTTTTCTGCAGCTCCAGACGATGGTAATAAAATTGTTCACTGGGCTAAAGAAGTAAGACACAGGTATTGGAGGGGTGCAGAGATGTGTGGTGTATATGCAGGCAGCCAGTTATGCAATTTTCTGTGCAAAAAACACATTTTAAACAAACAAATAAAAAACCCCATGACTACTATGCCAATTCCTAAAATTAGCCCCTCACCTTCGCCAAATCCCAGGATGTCATTTGAGTTCAAGCAAACAAAAAAAACCCACCAGGAGTCTCACCAACATGGACAAAGAGGAAGTGAGGATAAAGTTCCCAAAGCAGGAACTCTATTTATCATCTTTTGTTCCATGTTTGTTTTTGTGCCTGCAAATGAACCAAAACTAGGCTCTTCCGTTTAAAAAATAAACATAAATTAAAAGCTACTTCAAAATGGATGAAATAACAGCCAAGGAAGTATGTTTGTGTTTGCTCCATGGTCCTCCTGTTTTGCTGTCTTTCCCCACTTCTAGTTTGACCAACAGAGTTTACCAGTTTTCTACTGTTCTTTTCATTAAATCATCGTCCTGGCACTTGATAAGGACAGGACCAAAAGGTAAAATGTCCTCTGTCTTCCTCTCATCATGAGGTTTAAAACTTACAATTTTTGCAAATCATCTAGCTCTGGATCTCACCCAGAAGTTAGCATTAGGCCAAGGTTCCTTTCATGGGTTGTGTTCAGTAATTAAAAGGAAATATACACTCCTAGCAAAAAACCCACCCTCCAGTCATAGTAAGATTGTGCTGTTATCTCTAGGGTAGCTTAGCTGATCAGCCAACATTAGATCTTACTATTTTAGTAGGGGCAGATCTAATGAAGAGGATGTAGTTTTGCCTTTTGGAGTTTCATGATTACCCTAGTGTAAAATCTAGGCAACAAAAGTATTAATTTCAAATAAGCCTTCTGAGGTTTTGTTTTCCTCAGTATTTTTATAGTCTTGGCTAAATACAAGAAACTGTTGCTGTTTCTGGCTGCTCCTATCTGCTGGAGACAATACAATATATATTTCTGCTTAGTTGCACTGTAACATTTTTGTTTTGTGTCCAGCCAAGCTCATTCATTCTGGAATAAATACGTGTTCAACGCGAGGAACGTCCTTCCGATGGTGCGACACGACGCACAAGTAGATGAGGAAGAGGAGACACAGCAGCGCCGTAGCTGTGAGGAACACGAGGAGCCCAGCAAACAGAGAAGGTTTCAGAGGCAGCTGGATCAGCTTCCCTTCTGCTGGAATCATGTTTGTGAGGCTTAGCATGTAACCGAGTGACCACGCTATGCTGCTGTTACCAACCTGAAATGAAGACATTTCAAAAGAAGAGTCCTATTCCCATGACATCCCCCTGCCCAGTGGAGATTAAGATCTCAAAGTAAACTCTATGCTGTTTTCCTGGTGGAACAGCTCAACTTTGGACACTTCCCCAGAGCTGCTAATGATTGTCCACCAGAGGTCAAAATAAGGCAAGAAAATGCCACTTGATTCCTTAGTGCACGAGTAATAGATACAACTGTTCAGAAAACATTGCTTTTGATTTCTCATTCAGAGCCTGCCAGCCTGCCCTGCATCTAAGGGGATTTAAGAATACACCATGAAGATCTACAACCTATTCTTTTGTTGGCTTTGCATGCAAGGGCTGAAGCATTTCCAAACTATATGGACATTAGGAGACAGTCTGGGATAGGATTTTAGAGTGAGGCTCTGTGCAGTAGCAAAGAGGAAAATAAATGCATCAATGACACAGATATTATGAGCCTTCTCTCTCTGTCAACTGAAAGGCAATACCCCATCAAAATACATTCTTATTCCAGAGAGCCAGATTATGGCACAGATGGATGAGCTGGGTGAGGATGAAAACTGTCCTCGTTGCTTCATCACCACTCAGTGACTCCAAATTGCTTTGCCAGTTCCTCCAAGGCTCTGCCAGGAGACAGCAAAGCTGAGTTCTGCTCTCCAGCTCAGCAGGGTTACCTCAAACTGACCTTGACTGGTGAGGTGTTTTAGGCAGATCACTGCCTGGAGCAAAATACTGCGGATATGTTTAAAACACAAGTGTTTGATCTTTTCTTAAAGCTCTTTAAAGAATTTTTGTAGCATCTCCAAGTAATGCTGAGACCCTTGAAAACAGGCTGAGATTGCTCCTGAGATTTGAAAAGTGGCTTTGTCTTATGCCAAACATTTGACAGTCATTTACCAAGGCTGTTTACAACCATTCTGTTTTTGCAGGCTGCTGCATCCTCTGTCTCCTCCTCAAGCTCATTGGATTAAAATGACAGTAACAGAAAATTATTATTACTCACCTCCTTTTGAAAATGTATCTGTGGCCAAGTTTCTGCATTGAAGTTGTAACCATGTACAAGCAAGTAATAAATGAAATTGGCTGAGAAACAGTAGGATCTAGCATATATTTCTTCAAATTTAGGCAGCATAAAATGAAGCTGAAAAAAGGGTTTTATAAAAAAAAACAAGTTAATTATGGAAAAAAGCAAATGCTTTGGGTTTTGTAACTAGAGAATATTTGCATTTTAATTAGAAGTTAGTAACATTTTTCAGAAATACCAAGTAAAGGTGTAGACAACTAGATACAGGGATTCAGAAAGACTCTAAAAGTGACATAGCTTATGTGGTAAACAATGAAAATAAATGTAAAACTGCACATTGAAGATTGATGATGTTATGGTTTCTAAAATTTCCATGTCATCTCTACAGTGTGGTTAGAACTTGAAATGAAATTTTGAAACCTATTCCAAGTGTTAAGCATGACAGAAATACTATGTAGTTTGAAACACAAAGGAAAAACAAATGCTGGGTTGATACAGACCTTCTAAAAGGTTCTGAACACATAGCTGGTCCATATTATTTTTATATCACTTTTTCAGAGGTCTAAAATGGAAAAGAAAAATCCCAACAACACCAAAAACCAACCAACCAACCCACTTACCTGTGCCCAGCTCTGTGAACAGAAAAACCACATACTTGAATTGAAGTCATCTAGGGAAAATTGCCCAGATAAATTCAAGGCATTAATTGTATAGTAGAATCCAGAGAAAGCCTGCAGAAAAGCAGTGGATGACAGGTTACTTTCAGAACTACAGAAATCAAGAGCAAGCAAGCTCAGAAAGAAGGACACTGTTTGCAAACCTACCACAAAATTCCCTTTAGGTTTTGGCTGATGTATTCCATTAAATGGGCAGTCCTCTCTGTCTCTGCAAGCAGTGAAGTTAAACAATAAAGAAACCATCTTCTGGCACAGACCTGGGTCTCCTGTTCCATGGAAATTCACAAGCTGGTTTGGGTAGTAATTTGCTGGTCTCAGAGACTGTGTACAAAGGCTGCCAAAGAAGTCCTTCATTGTTAATGCTGTGTTATAGTTTTGAGGGTAACAGGGATTATCCACATTGGCACTAGTGTTTGATTTCTGGGGGAAAAAAATCAAACAAAAACAAACAAGAAAACCCAAAAAATAAATACTAGTCAAAAGCAAGAAAGACCTAATTTGGCATGAGCTACAGCACTCTTTTTAAACTGCAGATATGTATATTTTTGTTCACTGACATGACTGGTCAACACAACAGTATAATTCATAGAAACTCCTTTCTCCAGAAGTCGTTGGCAAGATCAGCAAAATATTTACAGGCCTTTTTGTCAAATGGCACAGAACTCTCGCTAATTTTTAACAAATATGAAGCTCTTTGTATGAAATCTAAGTGTGTTTGGCCACAACAAAGCACAGCTGAGCTCTTACTGGCGTCTCCAGGCTCCAGCAAAGGGAAGAGATCACAAACCTAAGAACCTGCTCAGACAATTACTGAACACTTGCAAGGGCAACATAGCAAAGGGTCTTAAACAGACCTGGAGCAGCAATGCTAAAAGCCTTTTCTCAGCTTCATCTCTGCCATAGCACTGGTAGCTGTGAGTGTAGACATTGTAGTTGTAACCATACAACTTCACTTGCAAGGTGCTATTGAGGTGCTCCTCAGGGTCCTCAGGGATAAATGAAATTTGAGTGGAAGCTCCTCCAAGGTCCAGTGCACCCACAGTCTCTTTTCCATAAGGATGGACCCATGTCCTCCAAAGGTTTCTCTACATGTAAAATTAAAAACAAGGCAAATTAGAAATATCATCTGCTTGTTCTCCCCTCAAGCTTTTCTACTCTTTACTTCTTGAAACTTCCCCCCCTTCTTTGTCCTGCACTCTTTCCAGCATTAGATTTTAAAAAAAAAAAAAAAAAAAAAAAAAAAAAAAAAAAAAAAAGTAACTATGAGGAAAAGGTGCAGATGTTTTTACGTAAGAGGGATGTACCTTCAGAGAGTGAAATGATCTTGAAAGAGAGGAGAAGGAATGCCCCATAGTGTTCCACTCAACAGGACAACACAATGACCAAAGCATAGCAGTAGCCAGAGCAGTGTCTATCCTAGAATGTAGGGAACTGAGGTTCAGATACCCAGGAGAACTTGAACTAATCTGGATGGAAATGGTATCAAGATTTGCTTATTTCAAGGCAAGAAGAAATATTAAAGGAGTCGAACACTAAGAGATCACAGAGACAGAGAGTGAAAAGAGAGTGAAAATAGAGTGAAAAATGCAAACTAGTCAGATGAAAGCTCCATCAAAGGCAAAAGAACAAGGAGCCTTAATCTGCACATTTCCTCCACTGAAACTGCAGTCTGATCCATTCAGATGGCATTTTTCCCTACTACCCAAAATATTCCCCAAATTCTGTGTTTGATCTACATAGCCACAGTGCTATATATAGATTTTCCATTATTATCTATGTCAATATTTACCCAATGAGCATGATGAGATGAATGCATACACAAGAAGATAAACTATGTGGTTTATGGGCTAGCTAATACACTCACAATAAAATTATACAGTGAAAAATTCCCATAAACAATCCCTCACAGAATTTGACTCTCAGCCTGTTGTCACAAGAAAGGTCAGAATTTCTCTCTTTTACTAGTGATATTCCACATGTATTTCTTCACAGAATTCTTTAGACTAGACTGGTTTCACAGCATCTTGCAGTGCATTTTCATTAATTTTCCATATGGAATTTGGTATTTGGATGATTAAAATTCATGTGGTAGAACACTAACACTGCCTTGAACTTCATGATGTCATTTTTGTTACACGAAATGCACACAACAAGAAAAACTCCTACAGAATGTGTGATTCCAATACTTGTTTTCTTAGTGTTGCAAGTCAACAGCGCATACACCAGGAGCTATCACAGCACCAACAAGTGGTATTTAATGGCCATGATCTGATAGGAACCATTCAGTCAGGACAGCTAGCAGTACTCAGCAGTACTGGTTGAAATTAATTTCCTTTCTGGTGAGACAATCTGGCAGAAGTGCTGTTGGTGCTGAGGGCAGCACACTCCTGCCACGAATGATTGCGGATTGTCGTGGTACAGCTTTTACTCTGAATGAAATCACACCAAATACCTGTACCTAAAAAGGGATCTTCCAACACATCTGACTCCCTCTCTGCTCTGAGGCTCCTGCCTGGCCCTATTCCAAGTTTGAGAACAGCATGAGTGTGTTTATACTGGTATCACTTGGTCTGCAGGGGACAGTTGGTGTCGCAGCCCACTGCTCGTAGCCTGCAGCTTTTCAGCAGTCTTGGAAGGAGCCGTGTATGAATGATTGCTGGCTCAGTTGAGGCATATCTGACCACCTTCCGTGCTTCAAACAGTCTTGTCTGCTTAAGACAAGTGAGCCAACACTGCCAAACAATTTGGAGACCCCTAAGCCAGGCAGGTCCTTCACCAGCAGGGCAGCAGGGACAGCAAATAAGCAGAAGAAAAGATCTTTAGTTGGCACCACTGTCAAGACAATCAGCATCTGTCACATTAAACATACCAATGCATTTAAGAGTGATCTAACCTTTTGATTTTAGGTAAGACACCCAATGTCATTTAGAGAAGAGCTCTTTTTTGTGGACCAACCATTTTACTTTTGCCATATCCCATTCCCATAACAACATATTCTTTGATTTATGTTTGCCCTATGACTGCCACAAAAAGACCCTGTTAGAGACTTCAGGGGGAAACAGGGGTTGCAACTATGACACTTTAACAGGCATGTCCTCTCAAACTTCTCATTTATAAGAGGGAAACAGTGAAAAGAAAATCATGCAGGTTTTTCCACACACCTCTAAGAAATTGCCCATTAAATAGTTGGCCGTTATCCATCCATACACCCCTTCCTCTGGCCCAGTTATGATCTGCGCACCCCTAAATTCAAAAGGTTGTGCTCTGAAGTAGCTTTGAATGCTTGCAAGGACTTCATTGGCTGCCGATTCATTTTGCAACCTAAGCGATTCACAAAACATGAGACACTGAGCATCTGGAAAGGCAATTTCATGTTTATTGTTCACTGACTAGCAATTCAAGAAAACTTCTACAATCACCTAATAAATGAAATAGACATTATTTCCCTAAAGGGGAAGCTTATGAGAGGGAGCAGCCAGTATCCAGCATTGTTTCAGCAAGCAACTCCCGCAGTATGTACCAACTTCACTCTACATCATGCAAGTTCATGGGTGGGGTTTTTTTCTCCTTATATATTCACCTTTATTTTTTGTAAACTGAGTGTTTATATGACAGCTTCTGGTTAAAACAGTCCTGGAATCTCTCTTCCAGCTCTGTTTAGCCACAGAACAAATATAATAAAGCCAGTTTGTGCCAGGGCTAAAGCCACAGACAGACCCCAAAAGCTGTACCACATCAGATCACATCCACACTCAGAATGCAGTGTCTAGCTTCCATCTGCCTTTGCTGCCCATGGATGTGCACAAACATCATCTGTTTACACAACACTGTATTTTATGACAGATGTGAAAGAGAAAATTAAAGTCTTGCCTTCTCCAAAATAAAGCAAGTTTCTTTTTAATACAGCATAACAGAGTGGTTTTATGCAGACACGCTTTCCCTCTCAGAAAAGTTTATTAAATTAAATTGGCTGGGCTCCATTTCCTTTTGAGATGGCCAATTTCCATTTGGGTAAAAATGCATCCAGTACATTTTTCATGTTCTGTTTTCACAGACTGCTCTGCTAGTATGCATATGGAGTAGTTCAAGTTTCTGCCATACCTCAGCAGTCTCATGCCAGCTGTAGCCCCCAGATAAACAGAAGTGTTTTTATGCAGATGAACTGGTATTCTCTCCTTCACTTTATTCAGACAGTCATCAAGAGGCTTGGCAAGAGCTCCAGGGCTACTCTCATAGCTGGATATACCAGGGCCTAAAAGAGAACAAGGAGATAGATTTCATCCTGCTTTGCCAACTACAAATTAGCCCAATTAGTAAACAGGTGTTAAGAGAAAAACATTTTCCCCTTGCCCCCACTGTAACTGCAAACAAGGGTAGGATGGCTGAAAACCAGGAGTGCTTATGGAATGAACAATGTGGTGCCTGTGCATTTCAAGATGCACAGAAATGGCTCTTGAATTCATTGCGGTACAAGTCTGCTCTGGTGCATGAACCAGGAAACAGCTTTCCAAATTTCCAAAGCCTTCAAAGAGCAGGAATGGGAGTTACATCATGCTGCATAAGGCATAGCTATTTGAACTATTAAAATCAAAGTCCTGCCTTGCTCAACACTCTGAGGACCATCAGGATCTTGACTTGTTCAGGCTCAAGTTGGGTGTAAATAAAACATTCCTTACTGAAATTCCCTAGCTGAGGAAGTGGCATGGACAACAATAGCCAGAACTCCATCTGCCTCTGTAACAGCCATGTCTTGCACAACCTGGTCCCAAGCTAAGCAAAAGGTGGCTCTTAGCCACCTTTCTTAATTCTTAATTTAATTTCTTAATTGAAAGAGAAACCATTTATGTTCAGTCACATTGCATTGACAGAAAGAGAACAAAAAAATATGTAAGCGTTTACAGACTCCACGCTCCAAAACTCCTGTTTTGACTGTGTGAATTTCAACCTAAACATTACCATGTCACCATTAGATGTTCACAGCCCTGGTTTTGAAATAAGACTTTCTGAAAGTCTTAAGTCTAGCTCAAACAGGTCTGAAACTGGAAGGAAAGCTGCTCCCAAAGGAAAACAGAGCAGCAACATCTTCAGCAGCTGCCATTGCCTCACACTCCTTTGGTGGCTGCAACTTCCCATCTGCCAGTGCTCAGACAGAGCAGGTCACAAGGCAATGACCATGTCCTTCTGGACAACTGGCTGCTTTGCTAATGCTTAGAGCCTTACCAGGACAGATTAACTGCACTATAAAGTGAGGATTTTGATTTGGGGCTGGTTCCTATACACAAGGGCAGAGGTACTTAACAAAGGCAGAAATTAAGTCATAAAACCACCACAAAACTCACAGAGTAGTTGATCACTTGACCTTCAAGTTCAGTAGGTATGTGAAAATCTGCCTTTTATTGTGCCCAGAGCTATCCCCCAGTTTAAATGCTTAAGACTATGGTTAAAGGGTCACTAAAGAAACACTGACAGATGTGTTCACCACTGTCACCCACAGCTTAGCTGGGGACATCTCCCATGAACCAGCCCTCTGTCTCCTCCAGTGCAGTTATCCAAGACTAGAAGACTGAGCCCTGGAGAGTTTGTACACTCAGGGATGTGGGAGTACTTGGCTGGTCATGGCTAAGGCCACAAACCTAGAGAGTTCACAGCAAGTTGGACTTCTCTGTTTTGTAATTTATTTGTGTTCCCCAGAGGTAAAACAAAATCTAAACCAATTCAAGAGGATTCACAAGGCACTGCCGTTTTGTTTTGGGGTTTTTTTGAGAAGAAGAATAATGCAGTTTCTCTGTGCATTTTTCCCAAATCAGAATTCCTAAAGGCAAACATTCTTAATGAGTCAAGACATGAGTTAGCAGAGTACCCCTCCCCTCGGCAGGCTGGCCACCATTCCAGCAGTTTGTAAGGACATTTCATCATTAGAGACATGACAGTGCATTACTTCTGTTCATGTTACACTTGCTTTCCTTTCCTTACTCTAGAATTGCTGAGAATGTCCACACATATGTTTAACACTGAAGATAGAAATGCTGGTGCTGTTAAGAAACCATTGCCTTCTGCTCCCTGTTACTCATGGGCCTCTGTGGCTACATCTCCAGCATCTATTTCCAGACACAAAGAGGGATGTAAGACTTTGCAAGATCATGACTGAGACAGAAGGAAAAGATTCTCTTTGAACACTGCAGTTATTATCAGAGAACAGAAAACCTGATTTCCCTCCCCTACCTGGCCATCTGTCTTCACAAAATGCATGGCATTTCCATAACTTTGAAAGCTGAGTCAGATGTCCCTGAAGTTGACTAAGATTCCTATGAAGGAATCCACAACCCCCTAACCATACCGGAGTGTGATCAGAAGTCAGCCTAGTCTGTCTGTCTGTCTGTGAGGAATAAATTCAAAACCTCAGACAAAAGACAGGGCAAGTAGCCAGTGGTACCTGTGGGACATCTTCTAGCTGTGCACAGACAGAGGTCTTCCTGAGACAGAGGCCACAGCTACATATTTGATAAAACAATGACATCCTGGCAGAAATAGTTCTGCCAATTTAGCTATTTGACTCAATAGTTTTATTACTACTTCCTAGTTTTGTGGTGTGGAGAAGCTTAATTAACAACTAACATCCAACAAAAGCTATTCTTCCAAAACTCTTTTTATTCCAAGCTATTTTAAAATATATATGACTTTTATTCTGAAAGAAACGCAAGCACTGAACATTTACAGGTCCTGTCTTGAGATTGAATTCTGTCTGCACCAATCATGCACTGCCATGGAGTAAATCAAATTTTGCTACAATTTCCTTTCTCTGGTGCAATGATTAGAGCAGCTTACTGTATCAGTAGGAGAAGAACTAATGCTGACAGATACAGACATAGTCTTGACAGTCTTCCCTCCACAGCACTGGGAAGGGAAGGGAAGGGAAGGGAAATAAACAGTACAAGCAAGGCTAAAAACAACTAAGGAACCTTCCTTTGAGCTCACCTTTCACATTGCACTTGAAGGTTTGGCTCACTACTCCCGTGTTGTTTTCTTTTTCTGCCGGCCACTCATAGACATAGACTGTAGTCCGAGAGGATCCAGCATCAAGGACTATTCCATACTGGGGATTAAGAAAGAATACATTAGATGAAGAAACAAACAATGACAGCTTAAATGCCCATGTGCAGCTGCACTGCACCACTAGACATTTAGAAAATGCATGCACAGTGTATTATTTACAAGAGAGATTAATTTGAGTGTTAGGCGCTTAGGCATGAATCCAACAGCCAAGCACAGAATGAACCTGGCTGCAAACCAAGGAACATGCTACATATCTTCAATAATTAATTCAGTGGGGATGGAGAATGCTCATCTCCTTTCAGCATCAGGTTCAAAACCCACACTGACAAATAGATAACACAGTGTTAAGGCCTGATTTTGGAGCAGGTTCATTTCCCTTTATCCCAGTCCATTCCCTGAACACAGAAGGGTTTGAAATCTAAGCACAGGCTTTAGATTCAAGGATGCACAAGGGATCCATAAAGCTATGAGCAAAGAGGTAAAGTACCTAACAGCAGACAGTAAGGATGATGTAACAAGTCTGGTTCTTTCCTAATTGCCCCATAAACCTCTCCCTTGGAGTGGTTTACTCCACCTGAGAGCTTGCCTCTGAGAACAGGCTGTGCCAGAGTATGAGACAACACAGAGGGAAAGAGAATCAATGTTACCCCATGATTATTTATAAAATAAATGAGAGCTATTTAAATTACTTGCCCCAGGTCCCTTGGACTCTGGGATTGAAGCACAGGTTTCTCCATCCCACCCCACTGCTCACCAGACCAGTCTTTCCCCCTTTCCCATATTTTATGGCATGAGAAAACTGTAGTAACTGGGAAGGCAATCTCATAAAGGGAAGCAAAATGCAATTTTTGTATCCTCTTTATGATCCCTGCAAGTATGTTTAGCTCTTCCAAAGTCACCTAATTGGTAGGAGTCACACAGTAAAGGGTGCATTTTTCTCTCAGCTCTTTTCTTTTGAAACAGACGGATGCCCAGGAGCCTGACAGTACTGAAAAATGAGAGCCTCCATCTGTCTGCAAAGCAGTAAGAGCCCCTGTAGCAGGCTGATAAATTCCATCCCACTGCCTCCCTGGGGGACCAAAAAGTCTGACTGGGAAGGATCACTGCTTCAGGTGGCAAACCATTCAGCTTCCACACCTGATTATTCCCAGACTCTACTGTAATCCTAAAAACTCCTGGCCCCCAAAAAATATCAGCAATACCAGTCTAGTTTGTTTCACAAAGGACTGTTAGATAATGAAAATTTAATTTATAGTTATGCAGACAACATTTACCCTGATCCACTAAAAGATTAAAGACTCCACAAATACTATCAAACCACTACAGCATCAGGTTCTTTTTCAGTAACTACTTTAGCAAAAATGATTTGAGTGTATTTCCTCTCCTAGGAAGACATGAGGACCCTGGACGTAGATAACACAGTAATGGTCAATCTGCTTAAGGACTACTAATTAAATCTAGTCTCAGTCAACTTAAAGTGCCAAACATAAGCTTTTAACTTGGCTACTTTTAGAGCTAACTATGCCTAAGGAGAGCTGGAAGATAATGGAAGCATTTTTACCTCAGTTAACTGTGGGCTTTTTGAGCTACTTCCCTCTTCCCCTGCATTTCCCATGTCCCTTTTGGAAGTAAGAGATTCCCATCCCAAAGAGTAGTGGCATACTTATCTGAATCAATGTGTGACTGACAATTTTTTTTATTTTGTTTCTCCTCTTTCTCCTCCTCCTCTATGTTTCCTACACATCCTTAAAAGAGATGCTGATTTCTGAAAAGGTCTCTTGGGCCCATTTCACGGTGACTCATGAAGCTCCTCAGGACTTGTGTGAGTTCCCTGTGTGCAAACTGGCCCATGCAGCCTCAAAAAGTGGTGACCAGTGACAACTGTGCCACATGTTAGGACCAAGATTAATCTTTAATTAAAAAACCAGAAATGACACAGGATGCTGCATCTCAAGAAGGTGAGTGAATTCTATAAGCCTTGTCTTAGCAGGTTTGCCAAAGAAAAACTGTCTAGCTTAAAATTTTCTAGGGATATCAGATTTCTGTCCACGTTGCATGTTGGATCACCTTTGGCTGCCCTTTAAGGGCAAGCAATGCTTTCCTGCCTTGAAATGCACTGTGAGAGCATTGGCAAACCCTTATCCCAGGCTAGCAGCTATTAAAGAACAGAACTACTTTTCTCCCTTTTTTCCTTTTTACTTCAACTGTCTGGTTGAGTATTTCCATCATCTCAAAGGCCTGGTGATTCCATAACATCCAAGAACTGCACCATCTACTCAATGGACTAGATTAGTCAGACAAGACAGGGAGACAACATTAACCCAGAAAAGTTTCAGAGTTCTGTTTTCTAGTCCAGAGGAAAAAAGAAAGAGGAAAGGGGGGGAAAAAAGTGACTTGAAGGAAAATATTTATTATGGGAATATGCCTTTGTAGGTACATCCTGAGGAGTAGTAATCCCAATAGATAAACAAGCAAAAGCCCCAGGATCAATCACCTTTTCAGCCTATCAGTCCTATATGAGGACATAGAGATGCATAAACCCTTAAATCAGGCACAGTTATGATGGATCACCTGCCTTCTAATCACTTTGGAAACTGCCAAGAGATGCTAACAAGCTAAACCAGCCACGGGAAGATGCAGGTCACAAAAGCAGATCTATGCTAGATGCATGCTTCAGTTCAGCTGCATAGGTCTGAACAATTTTTAATCAAGTACAACAGCCACAAACAATGCAAAACACTTCCTAAGAGCCAAAAGAGACATGAAAAATTTAGGTGTTGAAAACTGTACCACCTCGAGAGGCAAATTAAAGAAATACAATAATGAAGTGGGGTTTTTTCCTCTAGGGTTCACAAAACAGCAATAGACCAACAGATTTGATTTTATTTTTTTTCTGGCTGGTATAAAGGCTTGTTTCATTCAGTGCTATCATCATTTACAATTGCAGACTTCACTGAGGACGTTTGTGTTTCCTTCATCACTCTTCTCACTTCATGGTGTGTATCAGTGAGTCATGAGACCTTTCAGTGCCCCAGCCTCGTGCAATGGGCAGGCCCTTCCTTCACTAATCACTGGCTCAGTCTTCAGATAATCCAGCCATCAAGGATCCAAAATATTCGATTTTGCAACAACAGTTTAAAACACCAGTGGCATAGCATATAATTTATCTCTTGTGCCACAATGGATGCTCTCAACATACATCTTGGGAAAGAGCTGTTATGTCACAGGTAGCACAAACAGTAACAAAAGAATAAGGCCATTTACAAAAAAATCAATCTGCTTTTATCATGTTGTCACCATAATTAATTTTAATCAACCATTAAGTTCAGGACACTGTCATTTCCAGGCTCCATCATATCAGCCAGGTACTGGAGGCCTTCACTGGCTTACCAAGGTCCTCCTCCTACCTGTGAATTTCTTGTGAATGTAAATTACTCACTGAGGACAACTCAGTGTCTCAGGAATCAAACTCAGGGCCCTCCATATCACCTGCATTAGCAGGCTTACAGCCCAAACTCAAATCCAAAGCCAAGGCACATCCAGTAGAGGAAAGAGCAGCCTCCCTACAGAAGCTGCTGTGAAGCTGCTGTGATTCAGGAAGCAAACCTCCCCACTTAAACCAGCTCCAGATAGTCCAGGTGGTTCCAATGCTTCCTCAAGGAGGAAGGTAAACAGTTTTATCATTCTGGATGTGAAACTGAATTAATGGCAAACACAAGGGATGTGTAGGCTGTCTTTTAGATAGTGGCTTCAGCCTTGTCCTGGCTTCAGCCAGGATACATGTCAGTCCAGTCTTGCCTTGCATGAAAATTGGTGGGATGCGAGGCTGCTGCAAGCAGCATTTGGGGCTCAACAGAGCACATACTTGAGGCACTGTGGCCCCATACACAAGCCCAGCACACACCCCCTGCCACACCACACAAACACAGAAAAGGGGTATCAGAATTTCAGTTTTATCCCATTGTCTGACTCACACACCACCAAATGATTCAGACCAAGCCAAAGGTGTTTATAATCCCATGAAGTGCAATGAGGCATTAGCCTATCAGTGTGTGAACTATCCAGCTAAATACACATGCAGATGGAAAGTAGAAGGGACTTCAAAGAAAAATCTGACAAAAGGATCGTGGGGAAAAAAACAGAACTCTACATGCCAGGCCTCTCAGAAGTGTATTTTCTACAGCTTTTCCTCAGTTGTGCAATCTCTCATTGAAGAATCTGCACAAATGTTCCACAGCAGAAGGTAAAGCCTGATCTTCAGAGTATTTCAGTTTGTCTTTTGCAATTTGCTCTGCCCCCCTTAAAGAAGTTAGCTTGCTTCCGTTAGTATCCAGCAAGTCCCAACGTGTGGTAAAGGATCAAGTGCATACTTAGAGCCCAAATGCTTTTGATACACAGGAGCAATTTGCAAAGATGTCAACATCAACTTCCCAGCTGTGCTTGGGGCCAGAATTTAAACTCTGGGTATTTCCCACTTCAAAATTATTTTAAAATTACTTCCAATCTCTGGCAAAACTTAAAAAAAAAAAAAAAAAAAAGGAAAAGAAAAAATAAAAGGAGTGAGATATTCTCTCCATTTGGCCTTTCAGTCCTGAAGAAGACATGGTGCGATAGCCACCACAGAGAGGGAATGAAGAAATACTTTTCCTGCTTTGCTACTGACCCTTGACCAATTCTCTTTTTCTCTCAGCTTCAGCTTTCCCATGATGATATGATTAAACATTAATTTATGGCTGTAAGCTCATTTGAATCACCCCATAAAAACGAGTTTAGAAAGGCACATTATTAAATATCAGTTCAAAACATTGTTCTCCTTCCTGAGGTTGCCTAAGACTTACCTTAAGACCTGGGGAGAGGATCTGTTGCTGATTTATCTGAATCACTGCAATAGCAATAACAAGGACTATGCTTAGAAGAAGGAACACTTGGGCAACAACACTCGGGGTTCTGGTGAGCATCCTGAAATGACAAAGTGGGAAGCACTTAGGGAATCTGAAAGGACTTGGAGATTCTGTCTTAAAGCCTGAAGCCCTGAATCGGTTGAAACTCATAAAATCTAATTTCATCAACTGGATCACGTAGTGGAAATTCCATCTCCTCCTCAAGAACTGCCTGCTGTTTTGCAACCATTAACTTTTTATTGTCTGGAAGGGCTGTGTCTGTATTGCCATGCTAACGCTGCCAGATTTCACCCTCAGCCTGCCCGTTCTCCACGATGGTGCCTACGTGTAGGCGCCTGCTCCCCACCTCCCACGCCTGAGGAAAGGCAAGCTGTGGGCACACAGGCTGGGGCTGGTGCTCGCCCAGCGCTGCCCTGGGCTCCTGCAGCACAGACACAACCATGGCCAGGCACACACCTGAGCGAGGCTGCTCCACTGAGGGCAGCTGGATGCTTCTGCCACAGATGCAAGGTCGGTGTCTACAAGAGATGCAGGCTTCTTCAACAAGAAAAAATAAAAAATAAAAAAAAATTAAAAAAAAGGAGGTTTTAAGAACATTAAATTAGGTATCTTTCTACTAACTGCTAATGAAATGTGTGTGTGTGTGTATGCGTATTCCTATTATTATCACTCTGCCCTGCACATAAAATATAAAATACACACTTTAACTCAGAGATTTTGCAATGAAAAGTTACTAAATCTAAGTAAATCTAACATGGTTATGTTGGACAAACCCCAAGGTGGCATGGAACGTGCATTCTAACAATAAGGCTATTTATATGTTCATATCCTCTAGAAAAGTTTCCTAGAATTCAAATGTGGTTTAGGTTTCCTGGAACTTCCGCTCATCCTTTTCCATGTCCCTGACCAGACATCTCTTAACCCCAAGAGATCATTCAGGACCTCTGAGTACTGACAATCCACATATCAAAATCCTTATGCTCCCCAGGGGCTGAGGAGGAAGGAGGCAACTGTAGGGATAGAGCAAGCTTAGAAGTGTCAGAGGAACACAACAAGGAGAACTTGCCTGCCTTTGTTATTCCAGAAACCATTGGTTTTGGCACAGAAAAATCAATGTAGCCTGGCTTGATCTATCCTGAGTCACATCTCCTTATTCTTCCATAGTGATTGTTGAACGTACCAGTGCCTGCTCAGGACTGTCCTGCTATTTCAGCAATCACCAGTGCCAGCCTGTGCTGAGGACAGGAGCTTAAAGGTGCTCTCCAGTCCATGGCCAGAGCACACCGGCTCAGCCCCATTGTACCTGCAGCACATGGTCTTGTCCTTAGCTCCAACCAGAGCCCGAGGGCTGAGGGAGAAGGCAGAATGAATGCTTCACACAGCTTCCCTTTTCTAAACCCCATGGGCTCTGCAGCCTGGGCACCAACCATCTTCACATTCAAAGAAGAAGAAAGAAATTTGGTTTCTTCTGGGATTAGCTTCACACTGAGCTTTGCCTACGGCTACTGCTTTCCTTCGATTTCTTGCTCTTTCTGTTGTGAAAACTACCTCAGATTGGCTTTTGGAAACTCTTGACACATCTTACTTCCAAAACATAATTTTTTACATCCATTAACTCCCATTTCTAAATCCATATGGGCTCCTTGTTTACTGCCTATCTACTCTTCCAATACTTTTTTTTCTTAGCTTGGTAATAGCTTTAGAATCTTAATAATCGGTCAATTTAAAGAGAAAATTGCCAGCTACATTGGTGATCTATTTACTTCTCTTCATTGCTTTACTATCCTGAGACATTGAAACATCATGTACACAGTGCACAAATGATAAAATGAAATCTTTTACTATTGCAAAATATGTTAACACCTATATTGTAACCTGCAGGTCATACTAATAAGTATTTTAATGTCAGGACATACTAATTAGATTTATACAGATCAATTCCTTTTTGAAAGGAGAGAGCAGATTCTTAACTACACATTTATGAATAACCATCTGGATAAAATACTTTAGGGGGACAAAAAGTCATTAGCTTTCAATTGGGCATGGATACATCTATATAATATTATAAAGTGACTGAAAGAGAGCTATCTGCTCACAACTTAATATATACCAGTCACTCCTGGATCAAGGCACTGATGTTCAGTGCTGGAAAAAAACAAGTCATCATCAAAGAAAAAATGTGCAGGGCAAATGACACTTTGAAAAATCAAAGCATTACTAAAAAACAAAGCAATAGTGATTATTAGACTCTTAATACTTAAGTCTTGAATGATTAAATATTTTCTGCTCCCATTTCTGGGAGAAAATGGGAAATCTTGGTTTGTTGAATTTCCCATGTGCTTCCCTGGTACTGGGATTTCTCTTCATCAGAGGTGATTTTTCTCTTTTCAAAAATCTTGTTTGAGAGGGAGCATGTAAGGTAGGGGCAGATCACTTGAGACATTCCTCATTCAATCCTGTCCCATCGGCAATCAGGACAATTTCACCAGAGATAATCTGCAAATCCTGATTTACACAATAGCCTCTGTATCAAAAGGGCACCTTACACTCTGTGACCCCTTGAAGTCATCACATAGCTGGGACCTTTGCTGCCTTGCCACATAACTGGATCAGAGGCACAGGGCTGTGTTTACCTGTGGCTACACTCAGATCTAAGTCTCACACACCAGGCAATGCAGTCACATTTGCCCATTCAGTGAAATCTGTAGAGATACCAGAAAGGAGTTCACTCACTCCACAGTTTAAACAGAGTTGTAAGGTAAGGAACTCTTGCTATCATTGTGCACTTGTTGGCAAAAAGACAAATAAAAGGTGTTAACTGAATATCAAAACCCATTGCCTTCCATTATTGAAACAACATCATCCTGAAGCAAGAAACAGCATAAATACATATTTTCCACACCCAGTTAATTACACTGGGCCACATGTGAGCACACTGGAAGGAAGGATCACTTTCTTCACCTTACCTGCAAGCAAAAAGAATTCCTGCCTGCAAAGGAAAACACACTCTATTTCTTTATGCCACCAACATTTTAACTAAGTTAAATGCGCCCCAGTAAAAATTACTGTTCTGAAATTCCTTTTCCCAAGTAACTTGAAACACCCAACCCACTTCTTTTAGGTACAGACCTGTTTGTTCACAGGGTGGGTAAGCATGCACCTTTCTTTACGCTGTAACCTGAGAGATGCAAACGCGTTACCACTGATTTCAGACGAGGTCGACAGGTGAATGTTTCAAGTGCTGTAGGGGGGAAAAAAACAACAACAACGAAAACAACCGTAACCAATAACAACAACAACAACAACAACAACGAAAACAACCAAAAACAATAACAACAACAACAATAAAAACAAAAAAAAAAAACCCTGAAACAAACAAAAAAAAAACCCACAAAACAAATCCCATAGCTCTAAACCCCTACCTCCACAGCACTTTAAACCCCATGGTGAAAACCCGCGAGGAGGTTTCACACGCCTCCCTTCGGAGGAGAAATTAAGTAAAAACAAGCACATGGACACAAAATTGCGGGTGAAGCTTTCCCTCATCTCACTGCCGTCCCGGATGAGAAAGCTGTACACCATGACCGTGATTAGCGAGAAAACACCAAACTATCCCCCAAAATAACCTCGGAGAGGCAGAGCGACACCCCCGCCGTGTTGCCGGGGCGGCAGCCGCCCACCTCCTCACCTCAGCCCGGCCTCGGTCCGGGCATCCCGGCCCCCACCACAGCCCAAGGTACCTCCGCAAGCCGGGCTTGCCCTCCCGCTTCGGGATGCGGAGCGCCGGGAGCCGGCGGCACCCTCGGAGACCGGGGGGATCTGTGGAGAGGCACCGGGCCGGTGCCCGCCCTGTGCTCCTGTATTTGCAAACAGATGGGAAACAAACAACCGAAAAACCAACTTGCAGGTTAAAAATTAAATAAATAAATAAATAAAATAAAATCCGGATGGGCTGACTGAAGCGGAGGGAGGAGCTCTGCGGCGAGCGGACGCAGCGGGAGATGCGGCGGGGCTGTGTCCGGCGGGGGATGCGGCGGGGCTGGGAGGGCACGGAGGTTCCGCCGCAAAACCCCCGTGGCACGGCCGTGCCTCCCTGCCGTCCGCTCCTCCGGCGGATCCCCGCTTCCCGGAAACGGCGCTCGGGGTTCGGCGGCAGCTGGTGCGGCAGGGTGTTGCTGGCCGCCCCTAAATCACGTTCCTCAGTTCCCTCCCCAAACGAGGGCAGAAAGGGGTTTGTCTGGAGGTGGGTGAAAGAATCCCTGCGTCTTCTAAAAGGAACAGGTGCTTTCTCGGGAAGGCATTTCTCAGACCCCAGAAATCAGCAGTCCCTCCACTCTTAGGGCTACTTTTCCATTCGGGTTTTAGCGTACAAGCGCCACTTATTTTGTAGTTTTACTGGAGTTCTTGCCAAACCTAGGCTGCTCAGTGGGCTTAGCACATTCCCAGAAGCAGCGTCACAGAATCCTGCCCTGTCCAACCTGTGTGACCAACTACAGCCAAGGATCATCCTGCAGCCTGCAGGATGGGTTTGCCAGGGACACGAGCTCTGGAATCACAGTGAGGCACTTCAGCTGCTTTGCCACCATTTGCTCATTGTTCTAGGATTCAGAGTCACATAATGTAAAAACCCAAATGCACCTCTTTGATTCTTTTTCTCACAAAGATCTTGAAGAACTACAGCATCTTTGATTTTTGGATAAAGGAGAACAAGAAACCAGCTGCAGCCTTGTGAACCATCTGTAAGCATCTTTTCATAATCTACTCATTTTGGGAGTGGAGGCAATTTTCTCTTTTTGATGACAACACATTATTAAAGCTGATTTAATGATGATCTTGGGAGATCAGTTCAGTTATTTCTAGCACATGAAGACAAAGCCTTTCATCCCTCCTGATTGCCTGACTGTTGCATGTAATTTATTTCTTTTGTATTACTTCCATTCATGTGGCATATTTTTCTTCTCCCATCCAAATGTGTTTAAGGCCCTTGGTCCAACTTACTGCATTGGTAAATCACCTGAATCTGCTCAGGTGACCATTTAAAATGACAAGTGAGCTGGATTG